CCCTCCCTCAAAAAGAAATAAACATTAAAAAAAAAAGACAGTTTTAATCCTCTACTCCCTTGTTTGATATGTTCACCAGTCTTATCTGGAGACCATCTAGGAGCCCCACCCTAAGCCACGAATTAGCATAAATTCAGGTAAACTCAAAAGGAGCTCCTTATCAATGACAAAAGACACTCCTATCACTCAGGAAATTCCGAGGGTTTAGGAGCTTTGGTTGAAGACCAAATCTATTTCTTATTTTACCCTGAGTTCCTTGGAATTTCCAGGTGAATCTCAAAATAAGTTTGTTGATTTATGCAAAAATGACAGCTGAGATTTTGATAGGGGAAGCACTGAATCTGCAGATAAATTTGGGGAATATTGCTAGTTTTATAATATTACATTTTTTGATCCATGTACATGGAATGCCTTTCCATTTATTTAGGTTTTCTTTAAGTTCTTTCAACAATGTTTTGTAGCATTTAGAATATAAGTTTTGCACTTCTTTGTAAAGTTATTCCTAAGTATTTTATTCTTTTTGATGCTATTCTAATAAATTGCAGTATTTTAAAAACCAATTCTAACATCTCTGAAATTGAGATACTGTACAATCAAGGGTATCTTAGCATTATGCCATAGTACAAGTGGCAGTAATTTTTTTTTTTTATCTTGGTGGAGATAAATGTGATTTACCATCAATAGCTTCTTTGATTCAATACCATACGGTATTAAATGTGAAATGTCTATAAAACATTAAAGTGGAAATGGAAAATAGGCATTTGGATATATCAATTTAGAAATCAGAAGAGAATTGAACTAGAAGATAGATGTAGGGTCATCTGAAGTTCATTATTTTATTATTAAAAAAATTTTTTTTCATGTTTATTTATTTTTGAGAGAGAAAGAGACAGAGCACAAGCAGGGGAGGGGCAGAGAGAGGAGACACAGAATCCAAAGCAGGCGCCAGGCTCTGAGCTGTCAGCACAAAACCTGACACAGGGCTCAAAGTCACAAACCATGAGATCATGACCTGAGCTGAAGTCCGATGCTCAACCGACTGAGCCACTCAGGCACCCCCGAAGTTCATTATTTTAAAGCCACAGCAATGAATGAGATTCCTTTGGGAAAACAGAGGTTCCTGCCCTGAGAAATCACAATAAGAAGTCGATTAGAAGAATAAGATATAGAAAAGGGAACATTTTTGTTTTGAGTTATTGTTGTCATTATTGCTATTATTATGCATCACTAAGTGGAAGGACCTATGGGGCCAGGACCTTGCCTCTTTTATACTCTAACGAACCTCTCTAAGCTAAGCACTTTCCTATATTTAGCTATTAACCTACATATCACAGATAAATTGGGAAAAGTGATTCAGAATAATCCGTTCATTTGAGAAATAATATATTGATTAACCATCAGCTCTCTCAGCCCTGAAAATCAGACATGAATACAAATAAATCAGTCTTTTCAAGTCTCCAGAGAAGCATTTTAATCTGATTGTGATTTTGGATTGAAAATAGGCACATGCTTATTGCATATTAACCTAGAGTAATTTTCTAAAGGTAGAAGAAGAAAACCAGTCAGTAGAAATACTGCAGCATTCACAATTAAAAGCAGAAATGTGTATAAAAATCCTTCCAAGGCGTTCATATCCCATTTGCTGCCTCTACATTTCTATAGAATAAGTAGGACACCAGCTGGTAGTAATGCTAATTCATCCGCCTTTCCTTTACTGTTTGTCACTTCTCAGATGCTGAATCTTATCCATTCCTTTTTTCCTTTTTTCCCTTCAGATTTCAAATGCCCTAACCAACATATAGTTACTATAATACCACACCCTCTATGCAGTAGTTCTCAACCAAGGGAGTTTTTTGACCCCCAGAAGACATGTGGAAAGGTATGGAGACATTTTTCTTTTGTCAGAACTGGAGATAGGGTGCTACTGACTTCAAAAGGGTACAGGACAGGGATGTTGCCTCACATCTTACAATCCCCAGGGCAGCCCCTCATAACAATGAATTATCTAGCCCAAAGCATCAGTAGTGCCAAGGTTGAGAAACTGTACCAATGGGGCTGAGTTTTTAGGTATATGAACTTTCCGGGAGCACACTCCTTAGCTTTTACCAAATTCTCAAAGGTGGTATAATGCAGAATTTTAAGGAACACTGGCTTAAATGGATGTTTCACCTAGGCCTTGGTAACAAGTGGCATATTAATACTATTTCACAGCAAAAATCACCTCTCTAGTTAAGACGACTTATCTTAGCTGGCCAAATTTCGCTGTCCCTTTCCACTGCCCACTCTGATTCATGGCCAAACACAACTCTTTGGATTTCCTGTCTCTAGGTTCTCCAAATACCACAATCCCCTTCTAGTAGACAGGTTAATACAGTTATTATGGTTATGGTGAATATTGATTAAGCTAGAGCTTCATGATATGCCAAGTTTTGGGTTCTCTAGACACCTCCAGTTCCTTTGGTCAATATCTATTTGGGCATGTGGTGATGAAAATTAGCTTACAACTGAAAACTAAAGAGATTAAAAAAATTTTTTTTTAACATTTATTATTGAGAGACAGAGCAAGAGCATGGGAGGGGCAGAGAGAGGAGGAGACACAGAATACCAAGCAGGCTACAGCCTCTGAGCTGTCAGCACAAAGCCTGATGAAGGGCTTGAACTTACAAACTGTGGGATCATGACCTGAGCTCAAGTAGGAGGCTTAAGCGACTGAGCCACCCAGGCGCCCCTTTCCTGGTTATTTTAAACAGTTCAGTTGTAATATTTGTATCCCAGTCCAGCTAACCTGGGATGTAGTTATATTAAACTAGCAACTCCTGCACACTTACAGGCAAATTTGGGAGAGTGGAGACTATGGGCAAGGTGACTGGGTCAAATGCAAAAGCCTCCCTTTTCCTTGTTACGAATAAATCTAATTAGAAACCAACAAGGGGGGGTGGGGTGGGTGCACGAGAGAATAAAGCCAATGTCTAAAATGCCCTTTCCAGATAATCAGCAGATACAATAATCGTTACAATCGCAATCGCTCTTAATCAGATACTGGAAGTTGGCTGTTGTGGCCTATAAATCAAGAGAAACCAAACCAACCCAACTTAGCCATTTCCCCCAAATATTAGCAACTCTGTATAGTTAGTAGTCCGCTAATCCGATCAGGGAGCCCTAGCCAGCAACACTGAGGCTGGAATCCTGAACTCCCTAAAAACCCCAGATTGGTAAAATAAATAAATAAGTAAATAACCGGGGTTTCCGTGGGAACGCGGTAAAGGCAGGCCGATGAGAGAACAAAGGCCGCGTCCCTATTAGGAGCTGCCGGGCCCACGGGCCGCACTGGGGGCGAGGGCGGCGGTGCGTCCGGGTGGCGGGCTGCCCGGTGTCCCACGCCGCCGCGGCGCTGGCGCACCTCTCCCGGCCAGTCCCCGAAGCCACAGCATAACAGGGCGCCGGCGAGGCGGGAGGCGAGTGCGAAGGGCCGCGGGGGCCGAGGCTGGCCGCCGCCCGAGTGAGTGTGCTAGCGAGCGACTTGTGAAACACGCCGCGGGCCGTCACCCAGCAGGACAGCGAACACGCGGCGCGGCGCCGGCTGAAGCCGCCTAGATAGCGCACGCGGGAGAGGAGGGGCGCCGGGGACAGAGGGCGACGTCCCCTGCAGTTCCCGTCTCGCAGGGGTCGCCGGCGCCGCCAGGCCCCGCCCCCTGGCGCTTATGTAATAGGGGCGCGCTGCCATTGGCCTGCGCGACCGGAAAGGGCGCAGGCGTGCGAGCAGAGGAGGGGCGGGGGAGGTGGCCGCAGCAGGAAGGCGAGTGGGCGGCGAAAAGCGGGCGGGCGCTGGGGCGACTGGGAGAGCTGCGCGGCGTGCGCGGGCACGAGCGTAGTGGCCTCCCCCCAGGCTGAGGCGGCGGCGGGCGCGCGCGGCGGCGGGTTCGAGGCGCGGGCTGTTGTGCTCTCCGCTCTCCTCTTTCCCCTCCTTGGCGGGTGGAGGAGGCCGAAGCGGTGCTGGGCGCGCTCCCCCTTGCTCTCCCTCCGGCCACCTCCCCCGGCCCTCTCGCGCTGCGCGGTCTCTCCGACACAAGACTGTCCCGGCCCGGGTGAGCGGCAGTGGGGGCGGCGCTGACGCCGCAGGACGTCCGGGAGCCGGGGTGGGGGCCCGGCGGCGGGGTCGCCGCGGGTCGCGAGGGGCCGCCGGCCTCCCCGTCTCCCAAGCGGCGGCCCGTCCTGTCCCAGCGCGGGCCGCGGGCAGGAGGGAGAGCTCGGGCGCCTGCCAGGCCCTGCAGGTGGCCGGGTTGCAGGCCGCGGAGCGGAGCGGTAACCTTACCCCTTGGCGACAGCAGCTGGTCGGTTTCTCGAGGCCCGGGCTCCCCGTGGCCGAAGGGGCCGGGTTTGGGGCGGCCAAAGCCTCGGGGAGGCGCGTCTCGGGCCGGAATCTGTGCGGAGTGGCGGGTAGGTGGGGGCTGTGTGGCCGGACCGGGGAAGGAGCTCCCCGAGGCGGGAGAGGCCGGTTGGGAAGGAAGGTGGGCCGGGCTGCAGCTGGGGTCGGTCAAGTGTTGGGTGAGATAGACCTTACTCCTGGTGCTTTTCTCTACCCTCGGTGAACGGATGTAGTTAAAACGTGGGGGTCAGGATGTTGATCACTGCCTGGGCCTCTTCGTTTCAGATGGTTATGGAGAATGATCCTACTTCCTGGATCGAAAAATCTTTTCTTACTCAGTTGTTTGGGTTTTAAGAGGATTTTAGGGGGCACTCCTTACTTGTTGCCTCCTGTAAAAGCTCTTCATTTTAGAACAACTCTTTATTCGTTCTACTTCCCTCTTTGCAGCCCTCTCGGAAAATTGCAGTAAATAAGAGTAACATTAAAAATCTGCGTTTAAGGTATTTGTAAGTGACTTGTTGCCCCTGAGTTTGTCGTATGTAATTAAGAAGTTGTGCTTAAGATTTTGTAGAAAATTCGATTTGGCTTGAGAGCATTTCTTAAGTTGAGCTGTCCAAAAGCAGGTGGCTTGTTCGTTTGCATTTCTGCTTTCAGAAAGGAAATTAATGCAGTGAGTTGTTGGAAGTTAGGGGCCTACCCCACGCATTTAGACTGTTGATTCGATTTCCTTTACGGGGTGTTCAGTTTTGTGTTTTAAAAATAAGAACAAGTGACAACAGTCTTTATACTTATCAAAGCTTTTATGGTTTTATTTACTACTTTAGATGACAGTGGAAAATAGGTTAAATCTGTAGTGTAATGTTATATTTTAGGAGAAGTGCTAGGTGGAAAAGTTAAAAATAATATTCATCTCATGACATTGTACAGAGCACTGCCTGAAAGTGATATCAGAATAGCTAATATCTTGTAATTATCAAAGAAATTTCAGGAATCAGTGGCATTAAAACAATTGAGGTTACCCGCAAAATCAGTGTTAGCATGCATGGCAGACATTGTGTAGAAGAGTTCAGAAGCCTGAGAGGACTGAAGTATTCTAACATAAGGTACTGATACAAGATGTTATAATAGACTGGGATACATAAAGATTGCATACCTGTTAGCATCCACATCATACTCAAGTATCTAAAAACGGTTTCTGTGGGAACAGGTTTGATATGCTGCCATAACATTTGTAGTTAAATATACTTAAAATCATTCCGTTTGGCTTGGAAATAATAAATATTTGGCTTTTGAAAAGCGAAAATGGAAGTTTGGTGTTCAAGGACTAACACATCTGGTAATATTTACCATTATATGGGAACGGGGTTCTTACATTAGGCTAGCATACTAAAAATTTTTGTAGTTTGTTAAAATAGCTGGCTTTTTAGAAAAGCATTGAGTCTCTTCTATATTTTACTTGACTTTCAGTTCAGTGTTAAATACTAGTGGGAACTTGTCCAAGCAGTGTATTTATGTATTCAGTTTCCCTTTTTCCTTTTTTCGGGAGAACCTCATGTGCTTCTATGAAATGCTTTGATTTTATATTCATTAACTAATTAGGATCCCAGTCAGAAAAAGCCAGTACTGTTTTCTGGTCAGAGGTGATGTAGGTCCATGTTATGTTCATGCCCTGCAGTGATTTAGAAGTTTAAAACTTAATTGCATTGCTAGTCAAAGCTATACATAGGAATTCTACTTAGGACCCAATTTCAATATATTTAAAAGGTAGCTGGGGCTCCTAGGCCCTTTATGAGCAGGTTTAACGTGTGTTGCCCAAAAGAAGACTTTAATGTTTTTTTATTAAGTTTTTATTTTAATTCCAGTAGAGTTAACATGTAGTGTTATATTAATTTCAGGTGTACAATATTAGTGATTCAATAATTCTATACATTACTCAATGCTCATCATGATGAGTGTATTCCTTAATCCCCATCACCTATTTTCACCCATCCCCCTACCCACCTCTGATAACCATCAGGTCTTTATAGTTAAGAATCTGTTTCTTGGTTTGAGAAGCCTTTAATTTTTTTTTTAAGTTTCTGCAGTTCTTCTTTTTTTTGTTGTTTTTTTTTGTTTGTTTTTGTTTTATAAGTTTATTTGAAGAGCGAGCAAGAGCAGGGGAGGGAGAGAGAGAATCCCAAGCAGGCTCTGTACTGACAGTGTGGGGCTTGAACTCAATAACCGCGAGATCCTGACCTGAGCTGAAATCAAGAATCAACCAACAGCCACCCAGGTGCTCCAAGAAGACTTAAATTTAATGAAAAAGTAAAAGTAACTTTTTCAGTGACATTTATTTTTAACCCATTTAGCTTCATTTCAGACTATCAGTAGTAAAAAGTGGTACCTTTCATTTTTGTAAAGGTACCTTTACCCTTTTTACAAGGTTTATTCTCTCAATTGGGAACTAATTTAATCTTATTTAGTAATTTCTCCAGCAATCCTGCAAAGATCAATTGTTTAGAAAGATTTAGAATAGCATAGTGGTTTTATGTAACCTGAGTATTTAGGAGAACAGTTCCCGCTGCTCTTAGGATCTCCTTCAGAACCTTTAGATGACAGCTCTAAATTTCTCTTAAATTGTAAGAATCTTAATTCATGACAGTTAATACTAGAAAGGGAAAGTACCTTTGCAAAGTGATCAAGCAATTGCTTGGGGAAGAGTGCTAAACTTTTTTGGTAAAGTTTTGAAGGTTACGTACGGCAGACTATACAGATCTTAGATGTACAGCTCAGTGAGTTTTTACAAGTGAACACACCTATATAACCATTACCCTGATCAAGAGATAGAACGTATCAACTGCCCTCCATGCCCTTTTTTCCCAGTCACCACCTCCTAGATTAGCTTTGCCTGTTTTGAACTGTATGCAACCCGTATGTTGTGTCTGGCTTCTTTTCTTTAACACTGGATACGACCCTGTTACTTGTAACCATAGTTTTTTCTTTGTGAATGCAGGTAGTATTCCATTGATAAGTATACCACAAGTTATGTATCCATTTTATTAACTGGAATTTGCACTGTTTCCAGTTTTGGAAACAAGTACTCTGGACATTCTTGTACTGCCTTTGGGTGGATATGTACATTTGCATTTCTGTTGGGAAATGCGACATTTCTGTTGGGTGTATATGTACATTTGCATTTATATCGGGAGTGGAATTATTAGGTTTATAGAGTACACCAAAACAGTTTTCGACAGTGGTTGTACTAATTTATTCTCTAGTAGCATTGTATGTGAGAATTTGAAAACCCATACATTTTGACTGACAGCTCTATAAAACTTAAGTCTTCAACTCTTGAGAGCATTACCATACTTCGATTACTCGGTATTAATCACTCTAATGCCTCAACTTCTGTTTTTAGATATGGCTCGTGGACAGCAGAAGATTCAGTCGCAGCAGAAAAATGCCAAAAAGCAAGCTGGACAAAAGAAGAAACAAGGACATGACCAAAAGGCTGCTGCCAAAGCTGCCTTAATATATACCTGCACTGTCTGTAGGGTAAGGGGAGTGGGACGGCATAACCCTCCTGTGGACAGTTCTTTGCTTAGACTTTGCTGTATCGAGGTTAAAGTTTTGCAGCCATGGCAAAATAGATAGATTGGAGAGCTGCTTATTTTAGGTTTCCATCTTCAGTTGTCTCTTCCATAAATATTTTTTTGAATGGCTCTTGTGGCCAGGCACAGTTCTGTAGGTGTTGGGGGAAGGGAGTGAACAAAGCAAAGTCCTTTTCCTCGTGAAGAATAAAGATGTCTTCTTCAGGGCAGATACTACACTTTGAACTTTGTAAGAAGTCAGATCTACATTCTTAGTTTAGAGCTGTACGAGACACAAGTATACCCCTGGTTATGTAATTGTCTTTTTTCTTTACTAAATTCTTAGGAGGTCTGCAAAACTCTACAGAGTATTTTTACGTTAGGGCCTTTCCTAGAATTCATATGTTTTATTAGATTTGAAGAGTAGTCATAACAACTATTGAGTGCTTATCTGGTGTTCTACACGTATGAGCACATTAATCCCCAAAATCACCCTCTGAGATAAAGGACTTTTATTATTCTCATTTTACAGAAGAGTAAACTGAGCCATGGGGATTAAATAACTCATGCAGGGTCACCCAGCTAGTACAGAGAAGAGCTGGGATCTGAAGCTGGGCAGTCTAGTTCCTGAGCCCACCCTCCAGGCCACCATACCACACTTCCTTTCAAAGAAGTTTTTCTTCAGTTCCAAGCCAGTTTCTTTCTTGCTTTTTTGTTTAAGCTCAGCACCTTTGAAGTTCGTGAATAGAAGTGCCAAAGGAAAAATACATGGTGACGGTGGCCCAGTACATATGCATGTATACATATGTATATGTATTTTTTTCCAAAGCCCCACACCTTGGTAGGGTTGTGGGAAGGGATCTTGGTAAGACACGATTCCAAAACTAAAGTTTATCATCTGAAGGCATTACTGATGAAATTGAAGTTTCTTTTTTT